CATTTCAAGAAACACTTACTGATAATCTACTAATAATAGATGCACCAGACTTTGCACAAAGGATACAAAGATGACTGAGAAACCACTGCCTGTGGGGAACTTGGATTATGGAAGATTCCCTTGGCATTCAAACTATAGGTTCAAATGAGTTCTGCTAAAGAGAAGTACTTAAGACAAAAGCAGGTTTAGGTAAATACAGGCTACCTCCTGGTATTTTCGGCCATTTGCCAGCAACTTATGATGACATGAGCATGATACATAGACTCCTCTTCAGGCCCTATGATGGGAGAGTCAGTAGCAGCATCCTATAATCAGCTCCGCTTCTACATTCTGATCAGAATGAACCTGCCTCGTGCTATCATAACACAGTCTCCAAACCTCACTGGCCTGGCACAAGTTTCTCCCCCAGTCCAAAATGTCTATTGTAGGTGTAGGCAGTTACCCTCTCTGTTCTTACATGGAGATCAGAGCTCTTTTAATTCTGAGGCTCTTCCCTCTTAAATCAAGGTCTCCATCATAACTCTCCATAGCTATTATGTTAGGGGAGGGTGGTCCAGAAAACTGCTTGAAGACTTGCTTCACCTCCTCCTAGAAGCAGTGCCTTACTTCCCATAGAGTAGTAGCTAGACCAGAATTCTCAACCTGTGGGTCGCGACCCTGTGGCGACCCTCCCCTAAAAACATTTACAATTCATAACAGTGGCAAGATCACAGGTATGGAGCGGCAACAAAAATAAGTTTATGCTTGGGGAGTCACCACAACATGAGAAACTGTACTAAAGGGCCGCAGCATTAGGAAGGTTGAGAACCACCGGGCTAAAACAAGACATAGGGAGCTGGGACATGCAAACTTCCATGTCAGAAAATGAAGGTGGACCAAACAGGTGAAGTGGCACTCAGTACTCTGCGGATTTCCAATCCTAATCCCTTCCAAGGACTTCAGAAGTACTGAAATACTGAAAAGCCTTCTCCTCCTCCTCCTCCTCCTCCTCCTCCTCCTCCTCCTCCTCCTTCTTCTAATATTTAACATTGTTTTGGATTCTAGTTGGCTGAATCAACTGTGTGCTCACAGTTTTCTGTCCTCTTGGATCTGTTCTCTCCCGTTTGCCCCACGTGGCTTCTCCTCTAAACTGCATTTGTGGCATCATGGGAAGCACCTGCAGGAGATCAGAGCTGAGGAGGAGAGAGAGAGCAAGGTCATTTTTCCTGCCTCTCTGCCCTGGGTCGGCTCCATACAGAGTCCTTTCATTGAGTTTTCCTCTTCTTAAGGCTGGGAGTACAGGACTGTTTGTTTCCCTCCTTCATCCTGACTCCTGCCAGGTGTTTAATAATCAGACTCTGTCCTGTTTTCCAGTTGTTGCCACCTCTGGAGTTCCTTATAAAACTCAGGACTACTTACGTCACTCCTCTCGTTGGAGACATCAGCGGCTCTGGATTACACCCGTTTCCAAGTAGAGCTCTTAAAGTGCAGACAGACAGAACTAATTTCAGTTCCCTCTGCAACACAGTATCTCTTCCTCTGAGCCTCTGCCCAGAAGACTAGCATAGAAAGTGCTCCCCGCCCCCACCATGGTCTTCAGGCCTCAGCTCTAGGGTCACCCATCCAGAAAGCCTTCCAGAAACTCATTGAACTTGGTTGGACAGTGTCATCTTCTATCCCAGCCGTCTCCTTTCTCCGTCACTTACAGATCTCTGTATGTTCCACTGCACTACGACTCTCTGCTTTTCTCTCCGTCCTCCGCAGGATGGGCATCTGTGATGCACCTCAGATCTATAAGGTGCTCAACGCCTCATAGGAATTCAGTAATTACCAGAAAGTTCCTGAATGCCACTGAGAAGTTTGAGCCCTCTTCGGACAAATGTCACCTCTCATTCAATGACAAAAAAATCAGAAAAACGCTCTGTGCACATTTGCAAATTTGCAGTGCACAATCCTGGATGTGCACACACAGGTTGTGTGTGTGTGTGTGTGTGTGTGTGTGTGTGTGTGTGTGTGTAGGCCAACATCAGGTGTTTATATCAATCATTCTCCGATGCCCTTTTGAGGCAAGGTCTCTCATTCAACCTAGAGCTTGCCAGTTTGTTTAGACTGGCTGGCCGGCAGGCCCCAAGAATCCTCTCTGCATCCAATACCCCAATGTTATTAAGGTTTGAAAACTCTCTCTCTCTCGGCTTTCAGGCCATCTCTTGGGCTTTCTCAGGCTGCTTGTTCTTGGAAGCCTTTGCCACCGTCTCCCCCTCCATCTGCCCATTAACTGTTCTCCAGAGCAACTCATTCCTACCCGCCTTTTGGGCTTCCGCCATCTGTGAATACCACAATTCCCAAAAGCGTATTTTCAACCTTAACCTTTCGCAGTCACAAAGGCTCAGCCTCGCTCTCTGCAAACAGCTCAGATACTCATTTCACCCATTCCCAGTCTGCCCTCCTGCTTGCCATGCTCAGTCCCTGTGTCTACAAATTACAAACCTCAAAGTCCACCCCCTCTCCTCCCCCCCATGTCACAAGGCAGCAATCTTCCACTACCAAACTCCATTGTTAAACCCTGTTGAAGTCTTTATTTCCCCTAGTTTTCAGCTGGAACACCTCCTACTTTCTCCCAACTCCTAGACGTTCTTCAAAATCCATAAAGCTGCTTACCTTCAGTTCATCACTTCTGAGTTCTGCTTAGTTTCAACTTAGGTGTTGTTGGTTTTTTTTTGTTTGTTTGTTTGTCTTAGGTTTTGTCTTTTTAACATTGTTATGTATTATTCTTGTGTGTGACAGAAAGATGTGTACATGGAAGTGTGCGTGTCATGGTGGTGTTTGGGACCCCAAAGACAACTTTGTGGAGCTGGTTCCCTTTCCACTCCTACATAGGTTCTCAGGATCGGAGCCGTATGGCAGAAGCTCCGAGGTCAGGCTCACACAGAGGTGCTTTGCCCGCTGACATCTCCCTGCGGCCCGGCTTTGGTGAATGTAGTTGCACGTGACCGTCCCTCGCAGTGAAACCGTGGAGGCCAGAGGCCAACCTATGGGATTAGGTAGTTTCCACCACGTGAGTTCTGGGGATCCAACTCACATCATAGGATTGCAGGCAAGTTCCTTGGCCCACCGATCCATCTTGGACAGCCCAGGACTGCAAAATTCTTAAGGGCAGTTGTTGTTGTTTAAGGGAAGGGAGTGTTGATTAAGGAAGCCAGTTAGTGACTGATGGTCTAGGCAAATAAATTATTTTATATGAATAAATACAGGAGTGGGCTGGAGAGATGGCTCAGCAGTGCCAGAGGAACCTGGTTCAATTCACAAATCCACATGTCAGATCACAGCGGTGTGTAACTCCAGTTTAAGAGTATCTGACACTATTTTCTGGCCTCTGTTGTTAGTGGGCACACATCTGGCACACAGGCATCACAAGCAAGACACCCAGGTACGTAAACTGAATTTAAAAACGTAAGTAAATGAGTGATCTAGGAAGATGAATCTTTTCAATTACACCTTTTACAGATGAAAAAGACAGATCCCAGGTTGGGGATGAAGCTCAGTTGTGAGGTGGCTTGCTAGCTTGCATGGGAGTCCTGGGTTCAATCCCTAGAGCTGCCTAAACATGAGAGGGCAGCACAGTCCTAGTCCTGTAATATCCTTGGCCACAGGGGAAGTTTGAAGCCAGCCTGAGCTGAAAGACCCTGACTAAAGACAAACAAGCAAACAACAGTAACAACAAACAACCCTCCCCCCCAAAAAAACATTATACAGCTAAGTTAGGGTGTGTGTGTGTGTGTGTGTGTGTGTGTAGGCAATTGTTATTCATCTAAGGAGAAATTTTTAAAGTATACCTTCAGATCTGACTTCATGTGTTATGGTTCACGGTATGGACAGATTCTAAAGGGGAAAGTATTTTAACTCCACTGGTCCTTTTTCTTTCCTGGGTGACAGGAATTAAATAAACAAGGCATCGATGACAGGAAACACTGGGCGCAGCCCCGGGCTTGGGCACTTGCTGTGCCCACAACACATTTTAATCCTTTCCTTTCTCCTACCTGACTTTCACCTAACGTTTAAGCTCTAGTGAATTTAGAGACCCCTTCAAAGAATCTTAGGTTTGGGAGTCTATCTGCCTTCTATGTATCTTCAAACTCAAGAGAGGCCGTGAAATCACTGGAGGGGGGAGGGGAAGAAAGGGAGGGCGGTGCGAGCCCAGAAAGGAAAGGCGCAGAGGAAGCTGCAGAAGGAAGCTTTTTCGGCCGGGTTTGTCTTTTTTTAACCCCGGGGAGGCGTGACGAGCTCCCTGCCGTCGCGTGTTAGCTTCCCCAGCTTCCCCCGGCTCCTCCGCCCTGCGCGGGCCGCCTGCTTCCGCGCTGGGTGCGCTGCAGGCCGCGGCCGCTAGGGGCGGCCGGGACCCGGGGGCGGCGGCGACCGTTTTCCTAGCGGCGCCTCTCCTCGCTCGCTCGCGCTCAGACGGGCGGCGGCGGCGGCACCGAGCGGGCGCCCGGTCCCCGGGCGAGCTGCACGGCGACCGCTCCGCGCGGGCGGCCGGGGTCCGCGCTGCAGCCAGCCGGTGCGCTCCGGCCCGGGCGGCCGCC